ACAGCCTCGTACTAGTTTTCTGTCAAACTGTTTCCAACAGATCAAAAAGAGGGAGCTTCCAAACAAACCTAGAATTAAAGGCCTCGTGTTCTTTGAAGGCATGCCTGTCGCCCGCCACCTTCATGCAGAGTTTCAGACTGAAGTCATTTACACTGAGGAGTGACAGCTGCAGCTGTTCTGGTCAAAGCTTGTAAATGTCATTCTGCATGAATTCCTTTTAAAAGGGAGTTTTTCTTTCCACTGTTGCCACTGTGCTTGCTCAGGATGGGAGACTGCAACAAAGCCTAGATTCAACTTGTCTGCTGGATTCCTTAGAGAGAGAACTTTACTAATTGACTTTTATGTTTGTGAATGTTCCTGTTCAGTGCCCTGAGAAAACTTTGTTGTGATTTGGTGCTATATAAAGAAACTGAACTGAACTGAATAGAAAATGAATGAGATCTTACATCGTGTGTTTGTGCTCAGAGCGTGTGTTTAGTGTGACTTTCAGCTACTACCACAACAAATCTTAGCTCAATATTAGTTGAACTGACTGAGTTGTAGCCATGTTTGTGTTTCCTATGATCAGCAGGCTGTGGCAGCCATCTTAAATCCAAATAACTCTGAAAGTTAATCAGATATAGACGTACATCTAACAATTTGTTTCTGAGAGGTTTATTAAAATCCACTCAGTTGTTCATGTGATATTTTCCTAACAGACACAGGTGATTCAATATATAATGACAAAGTTTTTAACCAGAGCTTGTAGGATCAGAATATGTGTTGGGAGTGTCTCTCATCTACTGACACACCAAAGTTTAGCTCAGTTTCTGTCAAATCCACTGAAGTATAGACATTTGTATAGTGCACTTAGCTGTGGCTGCCATTGTTAATGGGGGTGTCTCTAAAAGTTAATCACATGTTGTACATGCAACGATTACATCCTGGGAGTTTGTGTCTGATGGTTTGTGAGATATTTTTCTAACAGACAGGACAAATGAACACACACAAAGAAAAACAGCAGACAAACCCTACCTGTTCCTGTTCACAGCTAAATAAAAGCTGTCTGAAGAGTTTTTATGGTTTCATGAGTTTTATGGTGGTTTCTGTGGATCTCCGCCAGTTTCTTCATCCTATGGAATAATCCTGCCTCCATTAGGAAGTTTAGGGAAGCTGGGAGAGCAAACCGCTGAAGCTTACTTCACATTAACACGTTCGCGTTGTGCCCCCGGAGCAGAAACTGAGCCAAGTTCAACTTTATGTTGGTGTTTTTGTGCAGAGAAAGGCTGAGGAGCAGCAGGAGCAAGTTTTCACACAGAGCTCTGCTTGTTAGTGACGGCAGGACGAGCCTGAAATATAAACTCTGTACATCACAGACGACCAGGATTTACTGCCGCACAACTAAACTGGGCATGTTCTGCACAAAACATCACGATTACTTTGTGTTTGGACTTACTTGCTGAGCTTCTGATTCTGCACTGGCCCCTGTGTCGAGGCACAAACATCAGTAACAATTTATTACAAAAGAAATGTTGAACAAAACATCCCAGAGATGAGACACGTCCAAAAAGTAGAATCTGCTTGACCTCAGAGAGTTGTTTAAATAAAGCTCATCAGTGAGACAACTCAACCCACTCAGGGTGGACTGTGTGACTCAGAGGGCAGGGTGACCCGACACCAAACCGTGAACAGATACAGGACAGTTCTGTTCACCTGACGAGAACCTTTCAGGACCAGAACCTGAACAACAAGAAGTGTCGCCTCGTTACAACTAAATACATTTCATTTGATTTAACCACAGGTTTATGGCTTTTGTTTACGTGTGTGTGTGTTCTTGTAAACATATTTTTTGGGGACTTTGCATTGACTTCCATTCATTTTCTATTGCCTAACCCTGACCCTTACCCTAAACCTAACCCCTGACCCCCCAATGAGACTTCTCCTTATGCGGACCTGGCTTTGGTCCCCATAAAGAGCAGGTGTTTCCCACAATGCATGATTTTTTGTAAAATTGGTCCCTACAAGGTAACCTGAAACAAAAACGCACACACACGTGTGTGTATGTCTTTGTTAACAAAATATCTCATAACCCTCTGAACAGACTTTCATGAACTCTGACACAAATAAATCATTGAATCAGCTGAATAACTTTCCAAGATGGCCGCCGCAGCCAGCTGGCCTCAATTTGAAACTGTGACACGAGAGGCAGCAGTGTGTGCTTTAGATGAAGGATGTTCTTATGTTCTCTGATCAGATCCTGGGTTCACTCAGTTCTTCAGTGTTCTGTGTGTGAACGTGTGAAGTTGAGGACGTCACCAGAGGACAGATTTTGGACCGAGTCACAGATTAGTCTGAGGGAGGTGGGCTGCAGCAGACGGGTCAGTGAAGAACTGCAAACTGCAGATGTTGGAGAGAACCACCCAGTCCAAGATGGAAACACAGTTATGCAACTCCAAGTCTGAATGAGTGAAGGAACGCAGCTCTGGCCTAAGAAAGGAAAACTTCCCCGTGTCCAGACGATTCTCTTCTTTTTCTTCAAAGGACTTTTTTCCAGGTTCACAGTCACGGTGAACCAGCTCACAGGGGCTGTCTGGGTTGGAGCACGTGCTGGTTGATTTGTCCAACATGTGGAATTGAGATTTGGAAATCAAAGCAATAGAATCCTGATATGGAAACGAGACAGGATGCTCTATTATGACGAAAAGCCTAAAAAAATAAACAATAAGCAATAAAAATGAAAATATCCTGACATCATTCACAGAATAAGGACAATTCTGGATACTAGTTAAAATTTTCCTTTCCATTACAGTGCTAAACCTTATATTTCATAATAATACATGGAATATAATCTAGCAAACTTTAATAGCACAGATAAAAACAGATCTTAAACAGAACATACAGAAATATAACAATCTCAAACTACTGAATAAAGTGGTGAGTCGTCCAACGTGTACATAAAGGAAATATATTTCCATTCTGTTAGTTCTCTAAATCTAATATCTCAGACAAGAGCTGAGTCAGAAATCGCCGAGTCGGCGTTCTCACAGTTTTCCTGTTTACAGTCTGTCTGTTTGTGTTTGCAGTCAAACAGCTGCAGCCTGTTTTAATCTTCATCGATCACAA